TATGCACAGGTTAATTTCAGTTCTGAAGGTGTAAATGGCACAAGGGAATTTCTTGCAGCCTCCTAATAGATCCTTAGAGTAAAGCTGTAAACAGCAGAGGCTGCTAATGTGGGAGTTAGGTCTTGTGTAAATGGAATAAAAACAGCCCAGGGTTATATCTTTTGTCATCTGGCAAGCAGCTCTGACATCTGCCCCGTGAACACAATGACCTACTTAGCCATTCAAAGCATCTGTATCCTGATGGCTGAACTGTGGCATTATTAAATCACTCCTTTGGAATGGAGAGTTGTGCTAAGCAAAGGAGTATTTTCTTTCATTCCTAGAAATGTGTTTGTTAAGAGAAACATCCTGAAAAGCTGAATGCTGTTAGGGTGACTTACTGTGCCGGAGCATCCCTAAGCTACCCCAGGTTGCTTGCTCAGCAGTGGCACAAAGATAAATTATGCATGTTCCTAAATTAAGAGCATTTGGGGCGACCTTATTTTGCCCATATTTTTTTTTTTTACCACTATCAGATCTTTGAAATGCACTCTAGGTCTCAGATTGTAACATCTTATTTTCATTTTGACAATTACTGCTTTGCTTCCAAGATTTTTAAGAGAAAAATATTTCTATGTGGTGGATGATTTTGGCTTTACCTGTGGAACACTTGGCTCTATTGCTAGTATGACGAAGTGTGAAGGCCACAGTGAAATATATGCCAGGAACCTAAGTTGCAGAATGTGCCCTAGGCACTGAAAATTTTAATCACACTCCTGGAAGCAGTTGGGTGTACATGGTAGAGACGAGTAGGTACCACAAAGAGTTGGTGACCTTCAGAAAGCAAAAACAGTACAGAAGCATGGGTGAGGATTAGATTTATTCAAGAAAGTGTTCATATAAGAGGTCAGCTTTAAATCTTGAAGTTAAGGTTGACGACAACAGTAATTATATAAAAATCAGGCTATTGAGGTATAATTTACGTATAACCAGATTCATTCTTTTAAAGTGAGTTTTGACAAGTGTAGAGTTGCAAAATCACCCACCACAAGCAAGGCACAGAACACATCCATGATCGCAGAGTTTCCTCATGTCCCTTTGTAGTCAGTTCACGGTAATTTTATTGTTAATTATAGCTACTGTTATTGAGCCAATATGTGCTATACACAGTGTTAAGCTCTTTAAATGCATTATATCTCATTGTACCCTCGGATACTACTTGATAAACAAGGAAACTGAGGCTCACTGAGCTCAGTTACTTGCCCCGCATCACATAATTAGTTAGCCTGCAGTGAGTCCTGGATTGTCCAGTGTGCTTAACCATTATGCTAGTCTCAGGAGAGGAAGAGTACTGATGTTTCCTTGCTGCTTTTTGGTGGGTGGAGGTTGCTACATATGTGGTTTATGTCCAGAGCAATGAGGATTGAATCTGGGTCCAGAGAGGGATTTGTTGCCAGAATGCTTTGAGGACCAAAGAGTTTCTCCTTGACTTTGTTATGATAGAGTGGAACCATGGTGTATATTTGTAAGCAGGAGCCTTTGTACGGCAAATGTTTCTAATAGCCGAGTTTCTAGGGGTAACGTGTATTTGGGGAGGCAGAGTAGATCACAGACTCGGGGTTGATTGCCTAGGTTTGAAGACTGGCTCCTCCACTTCCCAGCTGTTTTGCTTTAGGCAAGTTACCTCAACTCCCTGGGGCCTCAGTTTCCTCATAGGTGAAGTGAGGGCAATAAGAGAACCTAGCTGTAGCTGTGACATTTAAATTAGTTAACATTTAAAGGCTTACAATTACGATGTCCCCTAGCATGTAGGGCAATTCTCATCAAGAGTATTAAATGCAACCGTGATTGCTGTGGGTGGTGGCTGTGGTTATTATTAGTTTTAGACTGTCATAATTAAAAGCCCCAGGTCACAATGCAGTATAACCTGCCGGAATTGACTGTTGGCTCAGCAGTTTACTAGGTAACTAAGTAACCTGGAGCGAAATATTTAAACCTTTCTGAGCCTCATTTTCCTCATCTATTAAATGGGGTGAAATAGTAGTACCTGTGTGTTCGAGTTGTGAGGATTAAGTAAAATGATGCATATAAAGTTAACTTACACAGCAGCTGGCCACATACTGAGGGCTTGGTAACTGGTGATAATGTTGGTGACAGTGATGATGATGACATTGATGTGGGAGGGCTAGGGAGCTAGGAGACCCTTGAAGTGAACCCATCATCTGATGAGGCTCTGAACTGTACTGTTGGTTGTGGGAAGAGAAAAGAAAAGGCAGGTCTTGATTATTGAGAACCTACTGTCTGAACTTCGTGATGGCTACGAACAGGGGGCAACAAGAGGGGTTTAAAATGGCCTGGATTTGGAAAGGTGTGGCCCAAGAGTAATGACAGTGGAGATGGAATTTGGAAGAATAATTTCTTCAAAGATAAGGCATATATATATATATACACACACACATGTGCAAATGAAGGTAAAAATAGTATATTTTGTTGTATA